AGCCGGCCGGCTACTCTGTAGCAGTCCGTTTTCAAACGAATTGTCATCAGAAAAGCAGCAGATACTATTTTCTACCGACCTACCGTTTCTTTTCCGGAAACAGCGAAAGAAGCAGCAAGGCGACTGACAAACAGAGAGAATGATGCGTATGCCCCAACAACCCCATAATTACGAGTTACAAGAGTGTTAATGAGTCTCGCGGATATTTAGAATTTTGCAAAATTGGTGAAAGCTAGTTAAATGGGTGATCATTTGGCGTTGATGAACGATAGTTGGATAGGAAATAAATACGTTTGACACACCGAGCATGTACGGTAAATCAAGCTAGTCGGTGGTAGGATCAACCCCATTTAGAGTGACTGTTTACTTGAAGATATAGGCATCTCGAAATAACAGTGGCAATCTAGTACGAGTTCCTCTTCTCCTGTCCTGCACAAGAGAGTCTACCTATTACTGGCTGTGCATGCGCGCAATTGAATCACCATTGCAAACTAGTGTCCAGACACGAAGAATAATTGCTCATGAGAAAATAAACCCGTGTTATCAGTGCAAATCACAGGTTCTACACTGTCATTTTGGTAACCATCCCTACGCGGTAACAGAGCAAATTTCAGCCGAACGACTTCAAGCCAACTATAAAGTAGACCAGATGGGTGTGATATTGTCTCAACAACACGTCGTACTGGTTTCAAGCTCAAATGCATTTTTTTTTTTGGGGGGGGGCATTTATTAGAACAAAGAACTTTGCATAATTTCACGAGGGTAAGCGTGGCAAGAGAAGAGTGTGGGCACTCGTAGTAGTGTCCAAGATCCGTCCAACCAATCGGTTTGTAGTGAGAGACGCTGGTCCCCTCGCAAAATCACGATATATTAAAGAGAAACAGCAGAGGAGTGAGCTTTAGTAAAAACTGAATGTAATCAACTACAGTACACAGTCGCATGCCGAAGCAACTACTGGTGTCTCAGTAAAACCGAAGAATTGAATGGATGAGATGTATGTAACACAGATCTAAGAAGCACATGTAAGCAGATAATAGGGAATTCACCAGTTCTGGTTGAATGAATGATTCCAGTTAAATGACGCTGAGTCGATCTGTCTGAATCCCAGTGCTAACAATTAGCCATACAGGAACAAAAAAATACGGACTCTAAAAGTCTAGTGAGAGGGACTAGTTCAGTTGGAACGCTGAAGACGAGCAATCTAGGTGGTATATTTATCAGCAATAGGTTACGGCTTTAGTATTATGAAAAAGGTCACCTAGGCGATCAGCATAGAAATTTAAGTAGGCTACATGATTCGGTACCTAAGGCATCATAACGACGTGCATGATGATGCAAGATTGTGGAACCTAACAGGCAATGCATAAAAACGCCATATGATGCGAGTAAAGGAAGGGGGCGGTCGATTAGATTCAGATCATTCAGCGAACATCCACGGATCATAGTGATCGATACCATTAAACAAAGTGGCCAGAATGTTTGTGATGGACGCCGGAAAGCATAGCAGAGAGGCGCGATAACATCGGGCTGCGGAAAACGTCCTCAGAGCAGCGAGAAGCGAGCGAGGTAAGAAAAAAGTGACCTGATAAACGATGCGAAAAAGAGCCGTGTACGGCCGCAGACCACCAATGAGGCGGTGTAATTCCTTCTACAAGCCATGTATCACCTTAGTGCAGCCAAAAGTCCTTGTAGATTACAGGCTTCAGTAAAGAGGATATGCTGTCTTCCATCGCCAGTCGTGTTTGGATAATTAGAATGAGGAATATCAGCTCGACTGAAGTGGAAAATCAATACCTATGACGTCCGTCTAGAGAACTGAGGCACGAAATGTAGTCGGATACGTTGTTGGAAAAGATCGGTAACAAGGGATCCAGCACAACCAAATGATCCGCACTCCCGAGCTCCAAAGTGTTTACCGCCAAGATCAGACAGTTGGGAGGAAAGAAGCGTTAAATCATCGACACAATTACAGCTAGGCGCCGAGGTTGCAAGCATTGAATTATTTTACCAGACCATTTTTAAGGATATCCGACGAGTTTTCGTGAGGTCACTAGCATTGCCCCATTCGGCGCTCATCACCAAGCTTCATCCTTCTTTGCGGTCGTTGGGTTTACAAATGAAAACATGTTTCGAACGTGTAGCAACCGCGCGTACTACCCGCAGTTGCAGAAAAATCCACTGCTAAATGGCGACTGTGATGCGTTAGGTGCATGCGTATTTCACTCGCGTCTGATTCACAGCACCATACAACGCAGGCGCACGTGTGTGTGGGTTTCAGTGTCAAGTTTTCCCCACGATTTGACAATTACGGGTCACCAATCAAACACGTTTGGGGGCTTTGGCAGCACCGCACTCCGTTTACCCTCCGATACTACAATCTAGGTTTGAACCGGGTAAAGGGAAGCCAGAGAGCCGAAAACATGGCTCAGTGCCAATCAGGTTCCATGTTGCCCATCGCATGCACAGGTCCATCGGCGTAGTTCCGTGCAACACGCAAATCGGGAAACGGACGAGAGGCCACTATAGGTGTGCAGTTAAAGTGATATCTGCCTTGTCAATTAATACTGGCTACATGTCCGTGGATCGGTTGTTTCGGATACAGTGTCCATTTTCCGTGTTATTTACTCATGCGGTCGCTGTTCTGTCAGACTTACACACTCGATCATCTAATGTGCGAAATGCCGTGTATTTCACTACCATTCAAGTTGGAACACCTACATTTCCAACATATATCACTTTCTGAATTTGTCAGTTTGGCGCGTGATGGTCAGGTTGCCTGGTGGAAGAGTACGGAGCACTATTGGGGCCAGTACACCGATCCTGTTGATAAAAAGCCCTGGGTGCAGTTCAACGAGCACGATGCATCCAGATGAAATTAGTGAAATCAGTCACAACAGTAGGGCTTTGGAGGGCAGTTAGCACCCAGCAGTCAAATGCACTCTAAGTATGAGTAATACACCAAATAATTCTTAATGGGGAATTCGTCATGCAAGTGGAACCGATCTGTGCTGAAAAGCCGAGCACAGCACAGTCGTTCCATCTTTATTGGGAACCATCAGCAGTGTGCATCTAGCGAAATTGCGGGGAGTTTCGAACCAGCGAATTCCCGGCTGGAAGTTTGGACACTTAGCCGTTCGAACATAGGGAGATTATTCAGTCAAGTTGATGGGGGGATTGCACTCGGATTTTCTTGGCTAGAGACAAATATGCCTACAGGGACGCTTGAATTAGTACCGGACGCCATACAACAAATTGGGCCAACAGAAAAGATTGATGAACAACCTTTAGCCAATCGCCATGAATAGGACTAGGAGAAAATTAGTGGCTTCCCAAAAACTCTTTGAAATAATGCAAAGTGGAAGCTAATAAGCTACCAGTACCTTGATTATAAAACCAATCAAGGTTGTCCATCAAGTGCCGCCGCGCTTGGATTAAACGACGGCGAGGAAGATTCATCGGTTGGTTAGAATGTACTTCCTGGGTAGACTCAACCTAGCATAGGACTCCACCTTGTGGATTCACAACAAGTGTGATGATGAAAAACTGCAAGGTCCAGGTGGCTGGATTCGAATTTAGCCCAATATGACAAAAGAAAACGGATTCGCACTAGCTGAAGTAAAAATAAGGGACTTTCTATGGTTTGGGATTCGATTCTTGTGGTGTAAAAACGTTCAGCTGTGACAACGTTTCGGTGCCCAGCTTCCGTGTCAATCCAAGGGGGCACTAGGCCAGGTTGCTTAAGCCTAGACAAGGGGAGTCGAGAGATAGAGGTCGGGTTAGAACCATGGACCTTCGGGTCAGTAAATTCGCGCTCTAGCCATCTCGCCCAAGGTCGGAAAACAGAATGCAGTTAAACTGGACTGAAGAGTACGTCACTTCTGTCCCGTTATTCTGGAATGATGAGTAGGAAGAGGATACTGCCACTCCGGGACCCGTACTGCTCGATTAAAAATGTCAATACTCCGTTCCCGGTATATTATTCACTTGGCCACCCGGGCACGTAAAGGCATGAGACGTATACAGCATACACAACAGGCTGTTCGTGAGTTGCCTAAGGAGAAAAGCATGACAGCATACCTCTGTGACGCTTGAAAAGCACAAGGAAGCATTATCTTTCAGTGATGACCAAAAATGGGTCTATTGCTGCGCTTGGCTCAGACCAACCATAATAGAGTTTCGCACCTTTCTAGCACGCAACATGACGCCTTAGAACTGATGTGCAAGGCGAATCAGAAATGATCGATTCAGCGAACAATTACCCTTTAATAAAATGAAAAAGTAGAACGGGTGATGAAAAAACACAGATGACTCAATAGCGCTTCGTACGCGTCCCACCCAACTATGTTCTCTATCCAACCCTTGAAGTTCCTTCAACAAGCAATATACTGGACGAAACACTAAGAAAATTACCGTTTTTTTTAAAAAATAATTCAGCCGATGCTCCACAATACGGGAAACAAAGTATCCACACTATGGAAACCTGGCGCCATGCTTCATTTTATTCTTTTCTAATCAGCGTTTAGAACTTAGAAACGAAAATTTAAAACAGGCAGCGAAAGCGAAACGCCAAATACGCAGGGAAGTTTCCGCATATGACGGTTCCCCCCCCCCTCCAAACCCCACCTCGCGGCATGGAAGTGCAGATAAAAAAGGGTTCAAACGCAAATTCAAAAGAACTGTGTGCGTCAAACAATCCTACTTACTTCCAATACATGGTAACTGTGACGAACAACTGAAAGTGAACCTAACTCCGAATTCAATGTTCTCCCCCTCAACACAAAGGGAGCGACTGTTATGTCGTTTTATAAGCAATTCATATACCAGCCGCGTGACTTTGACATATGGTTACATGATCGTTACAGCATGTTTCTCACTAACGGAATCAATATTTATGACAATCCAAAATAGCGTAATCGTCTTTCTCAACGAATCGACTTCAACCGGAAAATAGTAATGCATCCTAATTGATTCCCTGCGCCTGGTTTATGCGGCTTACTTCCTGTCCCATTGTACGGTCTAACGCTGTTGGGTATAGGCTGAGGTGCACCTTTGTCAAAGCACAGCACCTAGACGCAAAAGAACACGGTGAAACATCCTGCTAAAATTTTTTTATTTCTTCAGCAGTAACAAAACTGTAAATTTCCTCGATCACCGGACATTGACAGTCTAGTCCAAACGCACAGGACGCATCCCGACAGACACTTCGTTGTGTGTGTGTGTGTGTATGGACAACCACGTGATTTAGCTGTGGAGCACTGTAGACATTCGTTTACCAATCTTTACGGGATAGTAAATAAGCTGTGGACGTTGAAGGTAAGCAGAGGATCAATAAGGAAGCCAGGTCATTTCATAAAACTTCATCACATACACGATGGCTGGAGCGATCTAGTAGAGTGAACTTTTGGACTTTCAGAAAATCATATCTATTCGATTACAGTGTGCAAGACGTACGGTCATTACAGAAATGGTCATTCGACAGTGGAAGGTCATCGAAACGGTACTGCTGTGGACATCTGATGAACAAAGCGTCATGTCCCACGAACCACGCAAAATAATCCTCTTGGAATCACCGACTTCGCTGCTAAGCGAGCCCGTTAGGGGCTGAAAGAAGTATATGTGCCTCAACATTTACTTGCTCGTCATTGTGACAACTATTACTCTGAGCTAAGTATTTGGATGCCACCCGAAGGAAGCACGAGGGCTGAGATACTGTCAGGTTACCCAAGCCCAGACAGGGAAAGTCGAGATGCAGAGGTCGGGTTCAAACATTTAGATGTTTCAGTCAGCAGAAGTGTTTTGTGAGCTTCAGGCATTCAGCTCATTTAAAAACGAAGATAATCATCATCACCATCCGAGACAGCAACATCAGTGTTGACGATGATGCTCCACTGCCTAAAAACACAAATTTCACTTAATCATACCCAAAGGCTTAGAGGAGGGTGGGTGAGAGAGGGACCTGGTGTTGGCCTACATTCTGAGATGTGTACTCCTTCAAGCTCTCGACCAGAAAATCCGTAAACCGATACAATTAACGACGCTGACATCGCTTAGCAGCCATATTGTGCAATGCTTCCGGCCAAACAAGGAGACCAAAAGGACCCCATCCTGGATTGCCGAACGCACCTACAACACAAACTCTTTGTAACCTTCATCATAAATTTTCATCAAGTTACCCGTTGTCAACCTCGAAGTTTGCGCCATTCCGACGGAGGCACGGAGAACAACACTCGTCTCGGTGGATAGTGTTTCGGCATGGCCGAACAACCTCAGTGGATGGTGATGAATTTTTTCGCAAGTGAAGTACCTGCTGCACAACCAAATACCTGTTTCCTAATTAAAAGGTTGCAAATTCGGTGACACCACCCGACAACAGCAAGGTGTTTACCCTCAGCATTGCTCAGCATTACTCTCAGCCATTGACAAAAAGTGAGATGTGTCGATCATCGTAAGTGAGGACCTGGTCTTCGGAGGAAAAGGCCCACAAAATCACATCTGTGAGGTTAAAGTGAACAAACGCCGAAACTCACTCGAGCATCCATTTGTTTGTGTTGATGTTAAACCCAGCAACCAGATGATCGGAGTTGGTGGCCAACAATAGGTTGCCCAGCGAAATGTTAGCACAAGCCGTGTGATCAGCCTCTCGAACATCCAGCTTTTTCGGATCGTAGGAATTCAGTTTGACAGCCAGATCCGACCAGGGCACCGCGGAATCGCGACGTTCCAGAGCAGACTTAGTGCGTACTTCAGGAACATCTCCAGCAAACTGCGGGCTCCGGGACTTCTTGTCGGTGTCCTCGAGATACTTGAAATGCACCAGGCCAGTACAGCCCAGGCCCAACAGAACACAAGCACCCTCCTGGGGAATCAATCAGGACAGAATATATGTAGGCTACCTGGACTATGTTCACATATTGTGATCATGTGATAAGGCAACTAGTATTAAAAATACCCTCGCTCAAGAAAAAAGTCAAACCAACGGAATCGAAAAAACTCAACAACATTTCGCAGCCCAGAGCTGGATACAATCGGTCAAAATATGGCGGCCCTCCATATTTTCTTCAGCTCCGTTTCATATAAACATGAAAGACGCCACGAATTTGCCGAAGGTGCGAAGAAGGAATAATCATCTCTGGAAAATTTGGTGGATAATCGGTAACTTGTGCAACCCCTTTGCTGTCCAAACTGTTTCCAGTTGACTGAAGACAACCGAATAAGCTCACGACGTGAATCATTCGGTTACCTACTGAAAACGTGTACAAAGCAAGACAGTCAACAAAATTCAAGCAGAACAGATGGAAAAGTCTAGTTGGCGTGCCCTCAAACCACATGGTGGATGAACCATACGCAGCAACAAATAAGCTGGTATAAGGGGATGCGACCCAAGGTGACGCACTACATGATAGTTGCGCTAACACCACAGTGAAAATTCCGTGAAAAAAACGCATACAAACCAAACGGTAGTAGGTGGAATGAGGATACATAACTAGTCGTCCAGAGATCGGGAACTTCGATGGCGATAACAGAATAGTGTCTGTCTGTTAGCATCCATCAGCTGAGTTAAGACTATAACTGAAATCTTTTAGGCCGGAACCAAACGCTTCGGCGGTGTGCCGACTAAAACTGACGCACAGTTGAGAAACGAAACGAATCGCATGCCTCAGCGGGAAAATGGGATGAAACTGACAATCCTCATCTTGCTCGTTCGTATGGGGCTATTTGAAAAGGTTGTCATAGAAATAAACCTAGAAAGTTCCCCAAATCGATCGTTGTCCGAGCCGACCTAGCTCTTTGGTAGCGTAGTTCGATGGTATGGCCGTCATTAGACACGCTATGATAACATTGAGAACTTCGAAGAGCATTTTACACAGTTCTGCTGTCGTATCGGCCGGGCGTTGGAAGAAAAAGGTTCAAGTAGAACATAAGGTAGCCGGAAACTCGGGGAATGCGCCCACCTGACAAACCCAAAAGGTGAAACCGGTCGTGGGCTATCGAAGAAAAAAATCATTCAGCTGTAATACCTTTCCGGTACCTAAATGCCATGCCACCCGAAAGAGGCGCGAGGGATGGGATACTGCCAGGTCGCCCAAGCCTAGACAGGGGAAGTCGAGATGCAGAGGTCGGGTTCGAACCACGGACCTTCCGGTCAGTAAATTCGCGCTCTAACCACTTGAGCCATCTCGCTGTCGAAGAGTTTCAAGCAATCTTATGAGTAGTGTAATACGTCTACTAAAAGGTAGGGCTGTTTAGCGAAAATGTTAAACGTGACTTTGCTACCGACAAGCAACCTCTATACATACAGCTATTTCCATCAAAGAAGTGGATTTAGCGAACCTAGAGTTAAACCATAGGATATCCACAGTAAATATACCGCAAGGCGACGAGAAATGTTCTATCTCCCATCCGATATGAAAGGTTTTAGGAGTAGTATCCAGGAGATTCAATCTTACGAGCGAAAGGGGAAACTAACACGTTCCACCTAAAACTGTCTGTACGTGGAATCGGAGGTTCAAAGCGGAAACAGATCCCTTATTGCCGAAAAAGAAGGATGAATAGTAAAGCGACCCGTGCATATTAACTTGAAGAACGAACGAAATTCGCGAACCCATCAAAGGTGTTTTGGTCAGTAGACAACATATGCCTTTTCAGTTTAACCAGGAAATAAAAAGAGGACTCGCTCATCTTTCAGTATGTCGGCTGAACGACAGTTGGGAAAGATAACACAACCTGGATACAGTAACGAACACATTCGGAGGCGTGCTTAACTGAATGTTCAACTTGGCTATTAATTTTGCTTCCATCGGAGGGAGGTGAATGCCCCCCCTCAGTCCCCCGATAGGTTGCATGCGTAAAGTGAGTGCTGTCAAGTCATTAAGCCCCGGATGATGAGAAACACAGCTCTCTTCCAACGCCCATAGTATTTTTGTCGCATTCAACTATCATCACTTCGGTTTGACAGTCTGACGTAAGCTGTGAATGGCTCAGACTGTAAGAAGTGCATTTTGTGCTTAGCTCCAGCACAGAATTAATCAGCGAAAGATAAAAAAACTCATGTATTCAAATCACACTGTGCAAATCGTTGTTGTGAACAGGGGATCTAATAGGGATTCGAACAATGATCTTGTTACTTCAACCGAATGTCAGTGTAAAGGCAGTTTCTGAGTTTGGCAAAGTAAAAATCTAATACGTAGAAGTACTTTTCCTGATACAGAGCGGTATACATCCACAGATGTATGAAGCAACGTTTTCCGGGACACACTGATGAGGTTGCCCACTAAAGGAGTTAACGTGTCCAGCCAATCCGTGAAATGCCGTTACGAAAAGGTAAATTGAATGAGAGTGCTTGAAGTCCCTCTTCACACACAGCACTCTCGAGACATCAATGAAACAACCGGCCTGAGGATAATCCCTACCAAAATAGATCGTAATACTCACCCCAATCAGCCAGATGGCCACATACCGAAACAGCGTGATTTGCGCGAACACAACCATGTACAGAAACCGCGAAAGTACGCTCCACCGCTGAAAGAAACGAATGAGAGGGGAGAGGATAAGTAATGGTAGTTACCGACATCCTTCAAGTTATAGTTTTTTATTCAGATTTTGCTTGTATCCAATATGTTCTCGTAACCAGAAATAACGTGGATTTTTGGTCTATGTTTCTTGGTTTCAAACAGGAGGGAAAAGGGTGTTCCCCGCCGCACAGGTGCCATAACAAGTGAGTTGCCGTAATCGCTGCTTCCCGTACCACGCATCAAACTCACAAGGCTCAATCGATAAACAACCGAAGACCGTGACCACCATCAGGGAGACCAATGCATGATTTTTACAATGAGGAAGATGTTGATCTCAACCACATGGATTGAACATATGCTTCAAAGAGGAATTTATAGGTCGCTTTTCTGAGACAGTGCCCGTAATTCATGAAGAAAGCTATGGACTTTCAATAAGGACAGAGGTTACAGGTTTAGTGCTTCTCAGCGTTCCACATCATACTGGCTTGGAGAGTCATCCTATCCCGGAGTTATTATTGCGGTGGTCCATACCACATAGGGGAGCAGTGAAGTGGCTCATAGTAGGCCTCATCAGTAGTGTATATCCTGTTCCATGCCGGGATTTGAACCAAGGACATCTAAACTGCGAGGTAAGTGTTACCGGTGCCCCACTAGCGCATCCTGCACCCACCTGGGTCATCACCTCTGAGCGCATGGACGTGCTCACGTTCGAGCGATCCGATTGGCCAGTGGTGGAATTCCAAACAATCCTGCAAGACGACACTTGAAATAAGTATTTTTTCAGTAGGTGAGAACGGGTTTGTTTCAAGATCGTCAGGCTGCCAGAAACATCTATGAAGGCTTCACATAACGGCATCACGATCCCCCCCCCCCAAAAAAAAAAAACCGACCGCTGTAAAAAAAAACTGACTATTGGTGTGCTTCTTCGGAAACATGCGCTTGTTTTTCACTAGAAACCCTTCTAGACCAGTCCCTAGGAGGAACTTTGACGAGGATATAGAGTTTTATGAAAACGTCGTATCATTCGTTTCCCCTGTTTTACACAAATGCATGACATGAAAACCCCATGCACAAGGATCTTTCAGCAACGGCGAATTCGATGCCAGAATTCTAACTAACCATGATACGAAGCCTGTGGTCATGAACAGGGCATATGGTTACCCTGCACTGAGTTTATGTCCCCTCGGTTACGCAGCCAACAAGCTGAGTTCAGGCACAATGATATCGAGTTGGATGGCTGTTTGTTTCGAAATAACCGAACTATTGAGCCAAGATTTGCAACATAACCTAACGCTTCAACTACACACTTGGTTGAACAGCTCCAATCGAATCGCAATGATCGGATTATCGGTATAAATAGTATCGACTTATTTGAAGTGGGCTGTAGTACGTGACTAACTGCCTAAAAATATTGTGAAAAGAACAAATCACGTGTTGTTTGCCAGCTATAAAAAACCCCCTACTACGTCAATACATTATTGCCGGTTGTGGGGTTTTGGGAGAGTTTCAATGGGGCTTCATCCTGTAAGTAGACTTAATCTGTGCGGAAAAGCTTAGGAGAACTGAACAGCTGTTTCATGCTTATTGAAAATCATCATTGTGGGGTTTTGGGAGAGTTTCAATGGGGGCTTCATCCTGTAAGTAGTCTTAATCTGTGCGGAAAAGCCGAGGAGAACTGAACAGCTGTTTCGTGCTTATTGAAAATCATTAGCGGTGCGCAGTTTGAGAAGCTCCAAGGAGATTCGAACCCAAGACCTTCCGTTAGTAGTTTGAACATCGAACTGGTCAGCCCCACGTGCCTGGTGAGTCACTCACCGTTCACTCAAGGAGTGCATATCAAGTATTCACGTACTCCATAATGTTGAAGCAAGTGAAGCAATCGGCGTGACATAAACGAACAGCGAACACGGTAATGCGTATTTTCCCAAAATATCGTTGGAGCAAAACGTAGAGTGTAGTGAGAAAATGGTCCTCTTCCTTACATCACACTTACATCGACTAGGAGACGTAATAAACAACACAGAGAAAACTTCCGACTTGCCTGTTGGAATTCCTCGGTCAACATGTGCTCAGCAGGATAAAGAGTGAGCATCTTCGATAGAATCAGGATACCGAGCAGACCCATTGTGAACCGAATAACAGTTCTTTGAACCCTGTGTATAGTCAACATTATGGTAAACAGTGTTAGCTGTTCCAAAAACAATAACTTGACTACTGAATAGAATCAACGACTCACCGATTGCATATAAACAAATTGTTTATTTGCACACGAACGGACTAGCTCAGGTTAGATTCATGCCGCTGAGACCTACTAGTGTTCCTTGTTGACGAGCGAAACATGTTCTAGCATTCGTTTTTCATCTCAAACAAACTAGTGCACTTGACTGTAACGAGGACATCATAGCGTTGTTGACAAAAAGAACGCGACCCAACTACAACCAGAACAATTGATTGCTGGGTGTTCACAACAATACGCAGAGTTTCTTTCGTTGTACTTAACCGCCTGGATTCCTAATCTCATCAGCACGTGTAGGAGTATGCGATTTTCGGAAACAAAAGCGAAACGAACAAAATAGCTAGTCGCACAATGACCGTGCTCCTCCAACTTTCTTGAATGACTGTCACCAGTAGCACCCTCGTGTGAGTCATCGAACAAATGCTCTAATCAGACGCCTGTTGCATGGTATTCGACTACTAATTGGACGGTCGAGAGTTCGAAACACCTAGGCGATTCGTAATATTCGTACTACTGAGAAATCTCAACAAAGATGAAACAGCCGTGCCGTGCCCCTTGGCCTTGCCCTCTCGGCGCATGTGTTAATCTGTTCGAACCAATGAGGATCAGACCAGACCTAAAAATGGTTCTTCCTAGCTTAAACGAATCCGAAATGGGGTAAAGTTGGAGAGCGATAGAAAGAAGGATTTCTAATTTCATTTAGCGTTAGCACTGCAGCAGATTGGATATATCTAGATGCAATTTCCAAACTAACGTTTACCAAGATAAATCCACCATTTGAGTTATTAAGAGACAGCTAGCTAAAAAATAAAAAAATAAAACTGACGCAAGGCAAGCGGTCTGAATGAAAGAGGGATATCCAGCACGTATTTTTGGTCCACATCTACTTGGCGGAAACTTCAAACATCATCCACTACGTTTCCGCCTGCTCACTCTGTCACCGATTGGAAAACACCGTTGCTACTGGCCGTACCGTTTTCCTAGGTGATCTCAGTTGATCATGACACGTTTCCGTCCAGCAAAATAATAGGCCTAAGGTGTTGGGCACTTTTCCTGAAAATGTTGGTAGTCCAACGATGTATCACGCATCTGGTTTTAAGAATTACACGTGCCACCACAAACCGGCTAACCATTATGATGGTCATTTTAGAAAACTGCCAATATCTCTGCTAAAGGCACACACATAAGTTGTTGTGTAAGAAACCGGGTAATGAAATGATAACCCAATTCTGTGCCAGAGTAAGATGGACCGAAACAAAAGGATTTTCAGCAACCTTATGAGTAGTACATTACAAAGATATACACGTATCGCGATATCTCGATTATCGTAGAGACTGGAACATGAGGCGGCCTGGTGCAGCAGATTCAGTTGCCTGAAAACATCACAAACGAGAGATTCAGCTGGGTTCCAGGTGAGTCTCTCGAAAAACCAAATTAGTTTGCAAATGAGTGTATATTCGCTAATTTCGTGCAATTTGGTTTCAAGTAGAACATAAGGTTGACGGAAACCCGGGGACTGTGCCTACCTGATGAGCCCCAAAAATGGCGAAACTGGTCGTGAGCTGTCGACGGGTTTTCAGCAACCTTATGAGTAGTACATTACAAAAAAGCAATTGTATTCTTTGAGGAGAGATGGACACAAAAGGTGACAAGAAGTAATAGACATGGTAGCTAGCAGGTTGAATTTTATGAAGTCTGCAAACGAATGAGATAAAACTATGTTTGGGATATCCAACTCACTTGACATTGAAAATAAATCGTTGGGTAAATGAGCGATTGGCCAGAATGGCAGTCGGGCGCAACGAACCATCCACGAAAGATTGATAGTGTCGCATTGGGAACTGTGATAGAACAAAGTGGGGAACAGAATGCCCGAGATAACCAAAGCAGTTATGAGACCGAGACTGCTCTGTGTCACCTGTCGGTTTCCAAAGTGATACAATACATGCACACCGACCAGAAGTCAAGGATCAGAGGGAGATCCGTTGGTCATCTTAGATTCGGTCAGACCTGGACTCTAAAACCTCCTGAGAAATAATGGTCCAATGATCAATGTTCCTCACGCTGAAACGGCTTTGGAGTCAGAATATTCTTGAAAAAGGGACTTTTTGCCAAAGGTTACGCAGGCCCACATTGCAAGCGTGTAGAATGGGTTTTAAGCTCCCGGTATAAGGCTGAGTTTGGCATCACATTTAACTGACGAGTGGTCATTGAGACAACTTTGTGCCATCACAGTGGTGGTGGATGGTGGGTCTATGTTGATCATGACTTCTCAGAATGTGTATCAACTACATTTCATAATTATCTTCAAAGTTTCGTTAAATTTTGTCATCTAAAGCACAGTAAACACTGATTCAGGTTCCGAGCATGTGTGAAACCCAACAACTAGACTCTTGAAGTTCCTCGCGAATTACGACGTGCGTCTCCCTTGAGCATGGCTCCCCTATTTTGAGATTCATCAAGTATGAAAAATTCATCAACCCGGACCCGTACTTGAACACTAAGCAGGACGTATTCATAAAAAAAGTGTTCACCTGTACCACCCTTCCGGTGCCTAGCTGCCATGCCACCCGAAAGAAGCACGAGGGCTGGGATACTGCCAGGTTGCCCAAGCCTAGACAGGGGAAGTCGAGTGGCGGAGGTCGGATTCGAACCACGGACCTTCTGGTCAGTAAATTCGCGCTCTAACCACCTGGGCCATCTCGTATTCATAGTTAAAAACGTCCAGGAAATTTGGATTGCTCAAATAGGAATTGAAGAGGCATGAAATTTGTATCATTCCTTCGAAAAAGGCATTCAAAATAGACTTACTCCTAACATCTCATTATGTCCAAAAATATCAACCTTTTATCCCTCACATTAATGGAGTTATCGGGGAAAAACAGAGTGACCATATAATTATCTCGCGCAACATAACGGTTATTAGAGAATCAGTCCATTATCATCAACCATCGGAAACTGTTCCAGAAGCATATCACTGGAGAAATAAAGGTACACGCTGAAACTGAAGCAATGTGAAGTTCTTACTGATACTGGGAAGGAAGCCCACCAAGAAGAAGGCTGACTACCCGGTGCTTTTGGTTGGCCACTAGTGACCAATCGGGCTGATTACTAAGTTTAGAAGGACGTCAAAAAACATCCGCCTGTGGGCTGTGACCGGATGTGAAATACGAAACACTTCGGGTTCAAAGTTTATGGTTGTTGTTAGAATATCTATAAGTGTCCATAACAGCGTGAAATAAACCACCAACTAGTACCGGGTGATCACATGACAGGGAATGTGACGCGGAATGTGACTCGTGATGTTACGTCAGTAATCAGCTACCAAATCCCCGCCTAGCCCCGTACACCAAAGCCCTCTGGGTATGTGGATAACACCAATGCCCGGTCAGTTGTGGAGGTAAAATAAGTGCCTCACCAATGACGCTTATAGAGATCAGCTGTCAATCAAGCGTACCGTCCATTGACGCGTTTGAAGTGTTCTTCCTAGCAAAGTTGATGTGGCGTCCGTCCGGGCTACGTCACAGTGTGCCGACGATGTTACACCGATTAGTGATAAAACGTCTGCAGCTCAGCTGCCAATTTCGGGGAACAGACGAACAACCAAGCAGCGCAGCCGAGTTACCCATATTTCACAACATCGCCAACACAAACTATGCGTATAAGCAAATCCTTCCTCGGAATTCTCACCAACCCGCCATACGAGCTGAAACATCCCTTCGTTTCTTCGGTAGTCACACTGCCATCATCACAGTCGACAACGGTCGATTGCAAACTAGTGAAGACTATCAGTCAAGCACTTTGGGGGAATAATACCAATGTGCACCAACTGTGCAACTGCGTCCGGCAGACCTTTTAGAAAAAGCTTGCTGTCACCAATCAACTAGTCAAGTTAATCACAATAGGCTTCTAACCATAAGTGGTTCAAGCGAATTCATCATCAATCATCAAGGAATGGGTTCATCCACATGTATCCAGATTTTTTTGGAACCACTGTCCTCCGTAGTGAACCACACTAAAATTGGGGTCACTTGAACCTAATTAACATGTGGTTTCCGAAGACACGGACACTATGCCTAATTGTCACCAAGAACTGACCCGGTAAACGTATTCCGAGCCCAGTACGCTTGTCCTGAAACGACAAATTCAATTAGCTGCGCTGTCAGTTCACAGTGGTGTGAGTAAGCTAAGCAAAATGCATTCCGATTCAGTTGTCGCAAGCATGATACACGATACTCAAGCTAATTTAATGAAGAAAAAGTAGAGCCTTCGATAACCAAGCCTACGGCCTAGTATCCCCATCTTACATTCTCTCATGTGAAGGTGTGTGATTGGAAAGACACATGTCCAGAGCATGAAATTCCGTACCAAATAAGATAGGGTAGGGTAACGGAACTCGAAAAAGTCCTCTCCATCAGGTCAGAGTGCTTTTGGTTAGTTCGTTGAGTCTATTTCATTAGAAAGCTTCCGAGAGGGGGGCGAACCCACAGCCAGTTTAAGCTGTTTTGTGAGTCCACTAACTGACACAGTGATTATGACCGAGTAGGGTCGAAAGCGCTTTTTATCTGGCAAAATGCATTCCGATTCAGTTGTCGCAAGCATGATACACGATACTCAAGCTAATTTAATGAAGAAAAAGTAGAGCCTTCGATAACCAAGCCTACGGCCTAGTATCCCCATCTTACATTCTCTCATGTGAAGGTGTGTGATTGGAAAGACACATGTCCAGAGCATGAAATTCCGTACCAAATAAGATAGGGTAGGGTAACGGAACTCGAAAAAGTCCTCTCCATCAGGTCAGAGTGCTTTTGGTTAGTTCGTTGAGTCTATTTCATTAGAAAGCTTCCGAGAGGGGGGCGAACCCACAGCCAGTTTAAGCTGTTTTGTGAGTCCACTAACTGACACGGTGATTATGACCGAGTAGGGTCGAAAGTGCTTTTTATCTGGGGAGGAGTTACTTAATAAACAAGTATTTGCCTCGCTCTGTGTTGTGATTCTGTGTCCATGATAGCTGAATAAACTGATTTACGAACAGAAATAAACTTGGTATCGTCTCTATGCAGGATTCGACTGGCCCCAGAAAACCAGCTCACGGGTCAATCTAACCCCTTCGGAATGAGCACTTTCGTCGATAGATCTTAAGCTGAAAACAGTTGGTTAACCACCAGTCGATCATCTCACTTCATTCTTTGATACGTCCATCAGCCAGGAAACTGGTGTAAGCCTACGCGTTTTAATCGATTTGACTATAAAAAACTCATTCACAAGAAATACGAGCACAATTGTGACCATCAGCACCTTTGAGCGAAGACAGAACAAGCATTCTGATGACAACTTACTTCTTTTCAGTTCGCCTTGTCTCGGAATAGAGCAAAACCGGTTCTTACTGCGGGTAGTCATAGACTTACACTGTTCCGCAAAGCAACCACATGGTTGATGGATGCGTGTTTGTCCGTTCAAATCATACTCTCTTCTAAAGCTTCTTCAATCCAACCACAGAGTGACGCGAAGGTCTAGACAATCTGGCTGCCACACTATAGATTTTGAGTGACAGCTGATCAAGATTTGGAAGACAGTCAAAACCAAAACAAGTGGTGCCAAACGTTAACCACATCCGTCCGCTTTGGATGGTCATAGTTAACGTCAATTCCGCACATTGTCTACGGCCACGTACTTGGTAGGATAAGGACGATTCTGAGATATGTATATGGCATTCAGGTACGTGATAGATCTCATGAGTAAACTTTTTTTACTTGAAGAGCGTGCGGGAAGTGGATACGGCCTGAGATGAAATCGGGTATAGAGTAATGACTGATCGAAAGTATTTTTGGGACAAATCACTTGCTGCCTATAAAGCTGACTACGACGGTCCTAGAGACGTGTTTCAATGCTATCACCACACAGATTCAACTTCTTTCTCACCGGTAGATGTCGCGTTATCTGGCTCATGCTGGTAATAAAGTTCCGTTCGACCCACCTCAGCCTACGGTGGGTGAGAATAGCTGGAAGACAGAGAGTTGTCAGACTTGTGCATCCTGTTGATAACAAGCATGCGAATGAGTGCGGGAACTGTTAGACACCCCTTACACGGACTTCCAGATGCTATGTGCGCTTTAACTTGAAAATTTAGTCATTCGGTTGAAAACACTCACGACAGCGCCGCGTGACAAGCTGTTTCGTAATAGTTTCCGGCTCAGTAAGTCCAACCCTCAGCTAGTTCGACACTTATCTCCACCACAACTGCCTTCTCCCTCACTTATGGTGATTTCTTCGGAGCACCAGATAAAAAAAGTAACTAGTAGCCTGCAATGAATGTTCAAAATTTCTATACAACCAACAGGACGTGCAACTAAAGCATGTATCACTTGTATTGAAAAATGTGGACCTGTCTACCCGATCGTCGTTCATCTTAACGGTACACGTTTGACTCATCGTACCATACAAACAGTAAACCCAGATCACGGATGGAATGTGAAAACAGCCTAATAATAATAATAATAATAATAATAATAATAATAATAATAATAATAATAATAATAATAATAATAATAATCGTTCACTCGTAACACTCTTTCGGTGTCTAGCTGCCATGCCACCCGACGGAAGCACGAGGTCTGATATACTGTTAGGTTGCTTAAGCCTAGAAAGAATCAGCTGAGGTTGGGTT